TTTTTTTTGTTACTTCATTGATTAGGCACATTAGTGACATGGTATGTGAGACCCATGAAATAACTTCTCATGTAGGACACGCATTTGTATGGTGCCCACGCCATACATTTTGTTGGAAATTAATTTGACAATTTATTTGGAACGGTGAAGGTTTCTCTCCCTGAGATTGGACTGAAATGTATCGTTAGATTTATGAGAGTTTATTATAGGTCTTATTTTGATAATTTAAATTATTTAATGTGTTAATTAGTCAAGTATTTTATTCTTGTAAAAAATTACGTTGATCGAATATCAATAGTTACTTGATCGGATCAGATTTCTATCAATGGTAAATATAATTTTAAAATAAATTGTTAATAAAAATATGATCTGATCAACGTAAATTTTTACAAAAATAAAGTACTCAATGAACTGTATTTTTTTTTTTTTTTTTTTTTTTTTTTTTTTTGTTACTTCATTGATTAGGCACATTAGTGACATGGGATGTGAGACCCATGAAATGACTTCTCATGTAGGACACGCATTTGTTTGGCGGCCACGCCATACATTTTGTTGGAAATTAATTTGACAATTTATTTGGAACGGTGAAGGTTTCTCTCCCTGAGATTGGACTGAAATGTATCGTTAGATTTATGAGAGTTTATTATAGGTCTTATTTTGATAATTTAAATTATTTAATGTGTTAATTAGTCAAGTATTTTATTCTTGTAAAAAATTACGTTGATCGAATATCAATAGTTACTTGATCGGATCAGATTTCTATCAATGGTAAATATAATTTTAAAATAAATTGTTAATAAAAATATGATCTGATCAACGTAAATTTTTACAAAAATAAAGTACTCAATGAACTGTATATATTGAATGGTTCAAATTATCAAAACAGAACTTGTTGTGGACCCAATAAATCTAATAGCACCATCCAGTCTCAAAGTCAACCACAGACAAGTCTATTCCTATTTGGAAACTGTATCTTCTTCTTTTTTAAAATCAAATTTTGTCTTAAAAAATTATATATGATGTATTTTCGTATCATATTATGTTAATGGATTGGGTTCTAACTTGAAAAAATTCAAGAAGCTTGTAAAATTCTTCACAAATTCTATTTCAATAATTAGCACCATTTATTTTTTAAGATTCATTAATATATGTCATTTATAAAAAAATAAAAAAATATTGATATGATAATCATAATATTTTTATTTTATCGCATTTGTCTCTAAAAAATAAATAATAAATATATTTTAAAATAAATCATTTATTTTTTTTAGTGACAAATATAATAAATTGAAAATATTACAATTATCATCAACCTTTTCTTTAGATAATATACACGGAGGGTTCTACAAGATTAACGGTTCAAATTATTAAGACGAAACTTGTGGTGAGCCCCCCCAAGTTCCTTAAATTCTCTAAGTTTGAATTTAAATCTGAAATAAGCGAGCAATGCTACCTCTACTTAAAATCTTATTGAAAAATATACATGTCCAAATATTATTGGACATTTAAATGTCATTTTTTTTGACAACCAATCACATTTGCCCTCTTGTATTTTTGGGTTGTTTTACCAATTTTTTTATCAAATGTCTCACATAGGTATAGGACCCACACTATGTGGGTCCCATATGGATCTCACACCCATGTGAGACATTTAGTTAAAAAAATTGATGAAAGTTTTGGGATTTCTAACATTACTCTTTAATAAGTGCTTTTTTTGACTTATTTTCATTTTTTGTGAACTTTTTTTAAAAAATTTCAAAAAGTTTTAGATTTCTAGATTTAATTCGATAAGACAAACCGGAAAATTATAATTTAAAAAAAAATAAGAAAAGACAAAAATAAATCAAAATAAGCAATCTTTTTTAGCTTGTTTTCGTCTTTAGTGAATTTTTTTGAAATTTTTCAAGAAAAAAATATACTTTTTAGTTTCTTCTCAATTAGATAGACCGGAAAAGTGAAAACTTTTGCCATAATTTTTATAAAAGAAAATCACTAAAGACCAAAAAAAAAAATGAAAAAAGATGAGACTTTTTTTGTTGTTGCCAAAATGGGTCTTATTCTAAAGAATGTTAGTACATGTAGAATTATTCTAAAGAATCAGATATTAATAGAGTAATGCTAGAAATATTAATTAGTACCAACTAACACACTAATTAAGACACAAGGCATACATGTGTGTTCCACCACTACATATGGTCTTATTTAATAGGTGGTGTGTTAGTTGGTACACTAATTAGTTATTGGGTTTAGCCTAGTGGTCTTGTAGCCACACCTTAGGGTGTGGAAAGGCAAAGGTCATTCAAGCTGATGGAATAGCAACGGCTCTTTTAGTTGTAATATAATTTTATTAACAAATTAACATCTTGCAATCTTGACCAAAAATAAATTAAAAAAAATTAGTGTTCCTATCATTATTGATATTAATATTTTACTTATTATATCAAGTGTTACCGTTTAGTTCCAGAGAGATCTCTTTAGGAAATTTTTGGTAGTGCTCTGGCAATACTTCGACTACTCCTTTTACACTTTTAAAGTGTAGATCTACACTCTTAGAGTATAAATCTGTAGTTTTAGAATATAGATCTGGACTTTTATATCTGAAATAGGGGTTTGATAGTCTCTCTCGATTTTGGCATAGATTTTTGAATTTTCTACACCCACAATAGTTCATTCTTTTCTCGAGCATTCTCTCATACCATTGTGAGTGTACCTTCTCCTTAGTGATAACAATTTGAACTTGACCCGACGGGAACCCGCTCCCCGTCTCTGATAAGAGCAATGTTTTACCCAAAAATTCGAAATTGAATCCCCGATCAGTTTTGGGTCGAGGACAGGGATAGCTTTCACAACCCCAGACCCGGCTCGACCCCGGCCTCATCCCCTATCCCGTTTCCTCCAAAGTAAAATTACTTTTATACTCCTCTCTCTATACATATGTGTGTGTCTCAATTTGTTGGACTCATTTTAGGGTTATAGGTTCACACACACAAAACACATCGCCTCTTTCTCTGCTGCTCCATCACCGCCACTCGTTCGCTTCTTTATCACCACCGTCGTCACTCCTTTCTCATTGGTGTCTTCCTTTTTCCTCACCGGCATCTTCCTTTCTTTTCCCTCTTTCTTTTCGCCGCCGATTTCGACATCACTCGTCGCCTCCTTCGTCGCAGCACCGCCTTTGTCTGTCTTCCGCCGCAACTCCGATAGATGATTTGGATTTGATTTGACCTAGACGACAGCATACGGCTTAAGCCAGCTGGTGTGCCAACTGACATTCTTCAAATCTTTAGATCACCATCAATGGTGTGCTTTACATCAAGATCATCAATCCGATCATCAATCTGATTCGACTTGGTGTAATCAAACGCTCTCTCCTTTTGATCTGATCTGTTTGAACCACTCAAATCTAAATTTTTTTGTTAAGGCTTTCTCAAATCTTTTTTTTTTTTTTTGTTAGGGTTTTCTTAGATCTGATATATACGTGTGTGTGTGTGCGCGCGCGCGCGCACGTGTGTGTGTGGGTGGGTGTGTGTATGTGTGTAATGAACAACAACAACAACAAAAAAATGAACAATTTCAGAGCTTATATATACCAACAGTTAGGGTTTTCAAGAGTTAGGGTTTTCATATCTTTAAATTCAGATCTTCAAAAAAAAAGAGTGACACAGAGAGAGAGAGAGAGAGAGAGAGAGAGAGAGAGAGAGATTTTTGACATTTTTCCCTTAAAATATCTATTTTGCTGAAAAATCCCTCTTTATATATTCTTTCTTCATTTCAACTACTCTTCTCATATCTCTCTCTCTCTCTCTCTCTCTCTCAATCAAGGTGCATCTTTGAGTCCGCTCTTATTTTAAAACATTTATTGCCCCTCTTTCATCCAATTTTCTTGGCTAGGACACTTCTCAATGGTCATATACAATAGCAAAGCATTAAAAAGGCATAACAACTGTCCCACCCACCAACCCAAAATTTATTTCATGGTCAGGGATGGCAAGTTGGGTTCTTAATTTTAGAGTAGTCTATGCAGCCTTAATTTGCTTGGGACACAAGATGACTGATTTTTTTATTTTATTGTTATGGTGTTGTCTGCTCCATTTAAATACTGTGTCACAATTTAGGTCTGCAAAATGTTCTGCTGCATGCTGCAAATCTACAACTATGACAAATAGAATTGAAAGTAATCATAAATACATGATTTTCTCTATTCTCAAATTCCTCTGTTTATGTCCCGTGCCATCCTCATACCTCTAATTTTGCCTCCTAATGCTGTGTTTAGTTAGGAAATTTGAGAAAGAATTTGGAAAAGAAAAAGAAAAAGAAAAGGTTGTGTAAAATTAAGTAAAATAGAGATATATTGTATTTACATTTCATTTACCTTTTACTTTCCAAATTATTTTTCAAGCCTTCTAATTAAATACAACGTTATTGTATGGTCTATATGACCCTTTGAAATCTTGTTTTATATATTGTTATTTTTAATATAAATATTTTTCATATTCTCAAAAAAAAAAAAAAAAAGTGTTACGTTTATATAGATTTTTCCAATGCAAATTAACATATCAACTAATAAGGTAAGATAATAAAAACAAATAATGACTGATACAAAACTCTTATAAAAATTAAAAAATGTATCATCCCACTTATATTTTAATTCTTCAAAAAATTTGACGCGGTATTTAATTAGAGATTTGAAAAAAGAATTAAAAAGAAATAATAAATAAAATTAATTAAAATATAGGTATATTTAAATTTTATCTACCTTTTCTTTTTCCTTTTTTAAAGCGTTAAAAAGAACTTTTTGAGTCGTGAGATTCCCATTTTTAAGAACAAATGGTTGTCGTCGATGATTTCTATTTTAGAATCATCAATCCCCTCAAATTCTTGTTCTCCCCAACATCTTCTATATATATAGAGAGAGAGTTTGTTTATGTTCGTGGAGAGAGATAGAGAGTGTGGGAAAAATATATATATATATATAGAGAGAGAGAGAGAGAGTTTGTTTGTGTTCTTGGAGAGGGAGAGAGAGAGAGAGAGAGAGAAATATAGAGAGAGAGAGTTTGTTTTGTTTGTGTTCTTGGAGAGAGAGAGTGTGAGTGAGAGAGAGAGAGAGAGAGAGAGAGAGAGAAAATGGTAGGACCTGAGAGGCCACAGTTTGTCCTGTTTGGGTCATCGATAGTACAGTTCAGTTACAGTGCAGAAGGATGGGGTGCTATTCTCGCTGACATCTATTCTCGCAAGGTAACCCAACTCCCTAAGTAATCTCTTTTCTCCCTAATTTTCCTTTCTTTTCTTTTCTTTCATTTTCTTGAGGTTTGGTGATTGATTTTTGTTGTTGAAAACACAATCATGGAGGGTTTGAATTTTGTTCCTTATCTGGGTTCTCAATGGTTTTTCAAAGCTTTCTCTGTGGAGATTTCAACTGATCAAGTTTGTCATTTCAATTCTGCTTTCCACAACATTGGATTTCTTGGTGGTGGGGTTCCACTCACCTTTTTATCTTCTTTTACAGTAACTACATCATGTTTATATTTGTTTGGATCATCTAAATTGCTTTATTTCATTTTCTGAATTGATTCCCCATCCAAGTCTCACAACACTATTGAGGAATTAGTAATTACCCTAAATCCTAATACATACACAAAAATACATATATAGTGCAATTAACTATCCATTTCCAAGATTAAGGACATGTTTGGAGTATGGATTTAGGTAGAAATTTTGAAATGAAAATATGTGTGAAATGCAGGTGAAAATGTAGTTTTCCCTTTCTTTTCTAAATCTCTAAAAAAATTCATGCGCCAAACACAGCCTAAAGGGAGTAAGTGAGGGTTAGATGTATGCAGTCTTACCCAATGTGCAAAGAGATTGTTTCCCAAATTTAATTTAATTCGTCATTATTACCTGCTTTCTGATTTGTTATTAATGGTTGGAGTGTTTGGACTGACATTACACATAGGTACAGTACAGTGGGTTCTTGTTGAAATTTTCTAGCTATGGTGTATTAAGTCCACTAGAAATGTCTTTCTAGGAATTTATAAAGAAAAAAATAAAATAAGAAAAATCTATTAGAATCTGGGAAAGGAGAATAGTAATAAGTAGATTACTCTTTCTTTTAAATCTTTATAAGGCCAAAATTACAAAATCACAAGCATTGAAATTTTTTTATTGCATTATTTATATATGAATAGTTGGTGGGGGGGGGGGGGGGGGTTTGGTTCAAGGATAGAAATGAACCTAGTTTTATCACCTCCTAGATGTCTTCAAGTTATGACCGAGGATAAACCACAACTGACTAAGCCCCAATAAGTTGGGATTTAAGAATTTGTCGTGTCAAATTGATCAATTTTGCTTCGTTTAACAATGACATGCTATGTGTATACAATCCCTTCTATTAGTTATATCCAAATCAGAAATAATATGATTTTTTTTTTGTTTGCCAACTTTGTCACAATAGGGGGGATTAAGTGATGCTTATTGGTGGGACAATTACTGTATAGGTCTAATGTTGGATACTATTTTTTTTGCATCCACTGCTGTTAGGTCTTTATCATTGATTCTTTTGATCGGCAGTACTACTGATTTTAGCTTGAAATTGGCATAGGCAGACATATTTTTGCGAGGATACGCTGGTTGGAATTCTAGACGTGCTCTCAGAGTTCTTGATCAAGTATTTCCCAAGGTATTGTGTCTGCCAAATTCATGAGCATCTTAAATATATTAGATCATCCTTTTAATTCCCTTCAATTGTATGCAAAATGGTTTTTCTATTTTTTATTTTTTATTTTTTTGGTTACTACTAATCTATTGATGAATAGTTTCTTCCCAACAAGATAATTTGCTTATTGGTTAAAGTTTGTTTCTTTATTATACTTCATAGAAATTAATGCCAATGTAAGTTATAACATCCTTGCTTGGACCATATTAGTAGTGTTTTGACGACGTTTTGTTGCTATTTCTAATTTTAGGATGCAGCTGTACAGCCTTCTTTGGTGATAGTCTATCTTGGTGGTAATGATTCAATGCATCCTCACCCAACAGGCCTGGGTCCTCATGTCCCTCTTCCTGAATATATTGAAAACATGAGGACGATCGCTATTCATCTCAAGGTAATTTTTCTGAAGAGGATTGTGCTTTTACAGCTCTGTGTCCAAAATAATTTTGTCAGATGGATTCTATCAATATCATCTTTGTTGTGTGATTCCTCACAAGTAACATGTCTGGTGAATTACATTTACAACCATGACCCAATTGGTATCATGTTAGAATTGAAAATTTCTAGGACAGAAAGAACTGTTTGTTCAACTTTTGTGGTGTGTGAATTTAGAGCAGCATGTGATAGGCCACTCTCAAGCACTATTTGATAGCAATATAGACATCCTTCTTGTTTTCATATGTATTTGTTGCGTATTCTAAAGAAGAAGAAAAAAATTTGTTAGCAGAGCCTTTCAGTGAAGACACGCGTTATCTTTCTTAGTGCTCCTCCAGTGAATGAGGCAAAAATCCGCGAATTTACAGGGTACTCTTGTTTTCGTGCGAGTTCCTTTTCTTTTTGTCTTGGAAAGTTTCAATTCTTACATGGTGTACCTGTTTTGTCTTCCCATTTTGAAACCAGTAACAAATTTGATGCGTTGGGTCGGACAAATGATGCTTGCCAAAAATATTCAGATGCACTAATAGAGCTGTGCCAGGAGCTAGATGTCAAGGCCGTTGATCTTTGGAATGCACTTCAGAAAAGGGATGATTGGTTGACAGCTTGTTTTACGTGAGTTTGCTTTCACGTAATAATTTTTACTTAGTTTATTGCCCTTCTTCTCTCACTAAACAACCTTTATGCTACCTAATTGAATTGCACAGAAGATAGAATTTGTCTAAACAATATCATTTTGATGAAGTATGTGGAATCATTTCTGTTGAATTGGTATGAGTGCATTCTGTACTTGTCATCTTGAAAGCTTCATGATGCTACTGTATGGGTAGTGCACACATTTCAAATCACCATGAAGTGGAAACTATAATGTGACGTGTTTTGTGAAATGACTCAAATTGAGAGATGTCCTGCTTCTCCTCTTTTACACTCCGTTTGTTTTGGCGGAAAATATTTTTTGGCGTTTGGTATGACTAAAAACAAAATTCAACCAAAAATGTTTTCCGTAGCTAATGGAAAATAAATTATTTGGGCAGCAAATATTTTCTACTATTGAATGGTGAAAATCATTTTCCAGACTAAAGTTTTATCAATGTTACCACACTACAGTTGTCGCCACCTCCATCACCACCACTACTAACAACATCACTAACACAAGCACTAGTATATTAATTTCAATATCGCAATAAGAAAATATTTTTTTATGGAAAACATTTTCTGAAATAAGTTTTATTTTTTTATTTTTTTTATAAACTGAGCGTTTCTAAGTTCTCTTAGTGACAACTTACTAACTGTAACAGTTGCAAGTATGTAACTAATGTGATTACAACATGCCTTTTTTCTCTATAATTGAAGGCCATAGTTGTCAAATCGGGATTCGTATCGTGAATCGAAATGGTCTTGTACCGAATCGCGAATTGAATCGAACCGTGAATCGTAAAGCGTAAAGATTCGGTTACTTTTTCTAAATTACTTAAGAACATATATCTACACATTTAGATGTTAAATATATCTTATGAATATAAAATATTTAGACTTAACTCAATAAAAATGTTATTTTGAATAATAATCACTTAGTTTAATAGGTAAGAAGTTAACAAAGGTTTCTATGTAAGATCACCATATTACCTTTTTTCTTTTTTAGATATTTTTTATCAACCATTCTTAATAAAGATGTAATATCACTATCTTGCCTTTTTTCTTTTTTAGATATTTCTTATCAGTCATTCTTAATAAAGATAGTAACCAAATAGACAAACTATCAATTTCCAATGTAACAATAATTAACAACAATGTTGATATTTGGACATTAAGCCTATATACTTTTCTAAGTAACAGTGAGCAAATAATAAGAATGAATTATTTAGAATCTTTTATTTTAAAGCCTAAAACATTTTAAAAAGTATAACTGACCTCACACATGTAATATTCAATTTAATAAAATAGTAATAGATAATTCATAGTGTAACTTTAATCTTAAACATCTTTAGAAGATATATTATGATTTTTTAAAAGGAAAAAAAAATCAGAAGAAAGGTTAAAAATATGTTAGGTCTGATTGAATCTAATTGGATCCTATTAGAAACTCTATGATCACTAAAATAACAATAAATCATACCTACCACTACCACTACCACCTCCACTTCACTCCACCTACCACCTACACCTACTACCACATTTTCTTCTATATATAGGAATTATCAATACATCAATCTTGTATCTATCAATCAATAAATCAATCAATAATACATAAATTCTTACAATATATGTTGGTTATTTTTGTATTAAACGCTATTAAAAGTTGTATTATGCCATTTTCACTAAAAAGATGGAGAAAAAAAGAGTCGAAAATATGTTGTACACAATAATTTCAAAAATTGCATGAATCGTAAAAAGTGAATCGAATCGTGAATTGACTGTGAATCATGCAATTCACTAGAGATTCACTTCCAAAATAGATTCACCCATAGATTCATATCAATTTTGTAAAAATTGCGAATCGAATCGTGAATCGATTCGCGAATCGTAAGATTCTGATAACAGAGTTGAAGGCTAATTATAAGTTGTGTTTATTTATTTTGTAAATAAGCTTGTCTTTTGGTAGTGTTGTAAACGAGCTGTGTAGTACATTATTCAAGCTTGGCATGATAGCAATAACAAGTTTCAAAGTGTGTTTAAGTTTGTCTCATTTACATTTTGAGTCGATATCAAACAAGTTTTAATCAGACCAAGCTCAAGTAGCTTAGTTTTTTAAAGTGCATACAAAGTTACTGAGCCGAGTATTGTTTGAGCTTGACTTGTAAACTTAACAAGCTTTATGATGTCTTCAAGTTTGGCTTATTTACATAATGAACAGTCAATCTCAAATAAATTTTTAACAAACCGAACATCAGTCAAACTCTAGTAGCTTGGTATGTTTTGGAGGTTGTGTCCGTGCTGACCCTATATTTTTTTTTTTTAGGAATGAAACTCACGATGATCCCCATTTGATGGGACTTAAGGCTTGGTTTGGTTTGACCAGAATTTCTTGAACAAGTTTGTTGCTTCCAATCAGGATATTATGTAGTAAAACTTTGGTCAAGGAGGATAGGAATTCTTAGAGAGAGGGAAAGCGGGAGAAGGATAGAATAACTGATCGCCACTGCAAATTGAGTTGCTGGGATAAGTACCAGTGATCTGTCATGTGCACAAGCATTCTCTGTGATTACCCCTCAAGTTTCATGAGTGCACTTTCTATTAGGATTACCTGTAAGAATGAGGGGTTTATGCACACAGTCAGCACAGGACTCGTTCCCAACCAAAAGTGTCAACTGTCAAGGCACAGATCTTAAATAGAAACTAGGAGAAACTTTCGAAATCAGCAGTTGTTTTGGATTAAAAATTAGAAGTTTCTTTGATTTCAAGTGAATCTCAAGCCATGACACTGCATCATCGTTCTTCCATTGCCATAGAATTCCAAATGGAAGATCAAAAGTTTAGTTTAATTTCAAGAGTTTCCTTTGATGTTTTTGCTAGGCATTACGCCTGCTTTGACGATGTGGCACACACTCAGGTTTCATATTCAATCCCTTTGTTTTGCGGCCAATTCTTGTTTCACATGTCACTTCAAATTCATTTTGCGGCCAAGCAGTTGAAGAGCGTTAGGATGAATTTATCCCATTTCGATTTCCTACCTAAATGAAATTGCGAGGCACGTGAAATGCACATTATTTACAAACAAAACACATCAAAATCTTTTACTCCATTACTGGGAGTTGAATACATAGCTTTTTTGGCTATTTGATTGATAGTATTTGGCATGAATAGATGTGTTAAAATGTCCTTTATGCCCTTCAATGCTTGATGTGGGGCTGACCTATACATTTTTTGTCTGTTCTTTAGACAACAATGAAGGAAAGGAACTAAATTGTTTTAATGCATGAAATTTAGGGATGCAATTGAAACAAATTAACAATTTTTTGGACTGAAATGAAATCAGTGGTATACTTTAGAAACCATTTGCATAATTCACCCTTGAAGTAAATACTTTCTTCTATTAATCTTATTTGGTTATTAACTAATATTGTATAACATACTTTGTTTGGTAAGATGATTTTTCTTTTCATATCTAGGGATGGAATCCATTTGTCATCGGAGGGCAGCAAGATCGTGGTGGAGGAAATATTGTCAGTCCTCAAAGAGGCCGACTGGGAGCCAAGCCTGCACTGGAAGTCATTGCCGACTGAATTTTCTGAGGACTCACCATATGATCTTGTAGGCTCCGATGGTAAGACCACTATAAATATCTCCAAGACCAACTTTCACTGGGAGAATGAGTGGGATTAGTAGTAATATAATCTTTTGACATAAAATGTGAACCATTCTAAAAGCATAACTGTTTTTCAAAACAATTTCATATTACCTGTATATCCCAGGCCAATGCATACAAAAAGAAAATGTTTTGTTTTCTTTCGAATGACTGGCTTCATATACAACCTTGTTTTTTTTATGTTGTGATAGAATGAGTTGAGTTGGAAATAAGATTTTGTTGTTGAAGAATTGAAATATCGTATCGAATTTTCAGGTTGAGAGATTATTTCTTGGAAAGATGGGATGAAAGAAGGATATAAAAATTGCTAATTTTTTTCAGAAGCTTAAAGAAGAGAGCATGATGGTGCTGTCGAATGTTTATTTGGGATTGTTTACTATTTTGTGGAATAACAAATTGGGACTTTGATGCAGATTGTTTGATCTTGAAATAACGCAACTGAAAAATTTTCAAAACTAGTTTGATTTGAAAAATAAATATATTTTTTGGGGGGTATTTATGAGCAGTATTTTTTTTTATTTTTTTTTGCATTTATTTTTGTCAAATTAATTTTTTATTTTTTGAAAAAAAAATTAAAAATTAAGTTTTGAAAACACAATCAAACAAATTTTTTTTAACATATTATAACTACTCTTTTACGGTTTTAAAAAGGTACAATAAGCACTATGAGTTTGATATAATTATACAAACTTTCTTTCTAGTAACATTAGAATTATCAAAATTAATACAAATGATCGGTAGATACATAAATAAATAAGAGTAAAATATATATTTTAGTGCAACAGGTATAGCTATCATTTTTCATCTATGTAACTATCAAATTACTAATAAAAAAGAGGTTAAGTATGATATAAATTAAATTTTTATATTTTAAAGAAATTCAACATAATTACCCCAACCTTCAGAAATTCAATATATTTATTTCCAAACCTCCAAGAAATTAGTGTAATTTATCCTTCACGTATAGATGATGGATGACTGTCAATTGAAAGAACTCTGGCCACTTTCACAATGAACTTAGTCGATGTTTACACGAATTTAGATAGAAATTTAAAAATAAAATAAAAATAATTTATATTTCATTTACATTCACATATCTAAATTTTTTTCTTTTTTGATTTTGGATAAGTAATTTTATAACCAAAAAAGAAAGATACACAATAAAATTTAACACATCCTATAGGGAGCACAAAACAATCATTTTTTTCCACTCTTTTTTTTTTTTTTTGGATTCAAATGAAGGTTAAACAAAAAGAGTTTAGTACAAACTTAACAACAAAGGGAACTCAGTCCCTCCTAGAATTAGCAGCCACCATGTCTGCTACTAATGCAGAATGAAGAGCATTGGGTGGCTCATCTAAGAAAACAAAATGCTCAGATTGGCTGGCTCCTATGCTGGCGAGAGCATCAATGCATTTGTTGGCTTCTCTTGGGATGTAAGAAATTCTGCATTTGCATCTTCTCAGGAGGAAGTTGGCATCCTCAATTAAGGCTCTATAAGGACAAGAACTGACAGCACCATCTGAGATCAGCTGGCTTGCTTCTTGGGAATCTGTTTCAAGCTCAATGTTAGCCAACCCTTTCTGCATGATAATGGTGAGCCCCCGATAGAGACCCCACAATTCAGCTTCCAAACTCGTGCAACTCCCCAGGTATCCATGGTAGCCCCACAGCCAAGTTCCCACTTCATCCCGCAGCAGACCACCATAATCAGATTGGCCTAGGTCTCCTCTTGAGCTGCCATCAGTGTTCAATTTCAAAAACCCTGCAAGAGGTGCAAACCAAATAGTTAGCCGTGGTACTGAGTAATTTGGATGAGTTGGATTTAAGAGAGAATCTTGAATTTCTTGAGCCTGTTGGATAATTCTAGCTGTGCTAACAGATGCAGGTTGGTGCTGGGCTTCAAACACCCCTCTGTTTCTGTCTTTCCATATGCTCCACAGGGTAGATAAAAAGATAATTGGCCATTGAATATCCTCCACTGTTTGCTTGCTTGTCATATTTGATCTGATCCATTCAGGAAGGGAAATTCTATCACCTGCTTGCCACCAAGGAAAGCTTTGCAACCTGACCCAAATTAATTTAGCTTTGGGGCAGCCTCTGAAAAGGTGGCTCATGTCCTCCCTAGCAGTTTGACACCTAGAGCAGATGTCAGAATCTGTGAGCTTCCTCTTTAATCTCATCTGGTTGGTTAGCAACCTACTATGCATGACCAACCAAAGGAAGCTCCTCAATCTCTGTGGGGCCTTGAATTTCCACACCCATTGCCAGTCCAAGTCATGCTCATCCTGCCGGGTAATAGAGTTATAGACAACAGAAGTAGTGAAGTTGCCATTAGTGGTGCCTTGCCAAGTAGGAGTATCCATGAAAGTAACATACCTAGGCCTGAAAATTTGTAGAATGCTCTCTTTTTCTTCTTGGGAAATCAGATTTTGAATGGGTGCCAGGTTCCATTGGCCTTCCTCATCTAAGATGGAACTAACAGTAGTAGTGCACTCAATATGAGGGCCCTGGTGATTACTGTCCAGTGGTGCTAAACCACACCACCAATTTGACCAGAGTGAGATAGGTTCACCAGTGCCCACATTCCATTTAATGTTAGTCTTTAACACCTCTCTATTATTAATTATGCTCTTCTAAGTGTGGGAAGCTTTTCTCTTGTTAGGCCAATTAAATATGGAATGATGACTAAGGTATTTAGACTTGAGGATAGTGCACCAGAGGTTGTCAGCCTGGCTAGCAATTTTCCAGCCAAGCTTGAAGATGAAGGCAGCATTCTGGGCCCTGGCTTTCCTAATGCCCAGTCCACCATGCCTTTTGCTTTTGCAAACGTGGTTCCAGTTAATCAAGTGGACTTTTTTAACAAAATCAGTGCTTCTCCAAAGGAAATTCCTATTTAAGTTGTCAATTTTGTCACAAATATGTCTAGGCAATTCCATAGTTTGCATGAGATGGTTGGGTATGACAGAAGTAACAGAGTTCACAAGGGTGAGCCTACCTGCAAGGGACAAATTCTTGGCCTTCCACCCAAATAACTTATTAGTCATCTTTCCAATGATGTGAGTAATGTGATTTTTGTTGAGTCTGCCATGAAGCAGAGGGGTACCAAGATATCTACCCAAGTCATTGGTAAGAGAAAGACCACACTGAAAACTAAGGGGAAGGGCTACCCTTCTAGGAATGTTGGGAGAAATAAAAAGCTTGGATTTTTAGAAATTTATTTTCTGTCCAGAAATAACACAAAATTCATTTAGCACTTCCATGATGGCATTGCAATTTCTATTGTTAGCCCTAGCAAATAAAATAAGATCATCAGCAAAGAAGAGGTGGGAAATAGGGGGGCTATTTCTAGAAGCTTTAAGGCCTTGCCAATCACCACTCTGAGTTTTGATTCTTATCATGTTAGAAAGATTTTCCATGCAAAGCACAAACAGGTAGGGAGACAGGGGATCTCCCTGTCTAAGTCCTTTTCCAACACTAATGTTTGGGAGGGCCTCACCATTCCAAATAATAGAAGAGTTAACATTAGAAACACAATTCATGATAAAGTTAATCCAGATAGGATTGAGATTGAATTCTTTGAAGGTGTGGTGAATGAAGTCCGATGCGGTCATAGGCTTTTTCAAGATCTATCTTAAGCACCATGCCTCCAATTTTGCCTTTCTTAGACCTGAGGGTATGAATAATTTCCTGGGTGATGATGATATTATCAGTTGTAGTTCTACCCGGGATAAAACTACTCTGATTAAGGCTAACTAACTCAGAAAGCATGGGTCGAAGGCGGTTGACAATAATTTTTGTGATGGTCTTATAAGTAACATTACATAGACTTAACGGTCTAAACTGTTTAAGAGTCTCAGGGTTCTCCAGCTTGGGAATTAAAACAATCTGAGTTGCATTAACCTCCTCAGGGATGGTCTGGGTGGAAAAACACTGTTTAACAAAATGGCACATGGAAGGACCAACAATATTCCAGTTTTGATGAAAGAAGACAGCTTGCAACCCATCTCTACCAGGGGCTTTGAAGGCTTTGATATTTTTAATGGCATTCTAGATTTCCTGGTTGGTGATGGGCGCTTGGAGTGTATCATTATTTTCCTGAGTAAAGCCAGTATGAGTGATACTTCTCCAATTATCTAGCATAGGAGTAGCCTCATGTTTAAACAGATCATTGAAATATTGGGAAATATGGTTTTTAATAGTCATAGAGTTAGAAATCCAATTTCCAGCATCATCCTTGATCATGTTAATTTTGAGTTTCCTACGTTTATTAAGAGTGGAAATATGAAAAAATTTAGTATTCCGATCTCCCATAATAAGCCATTTGACTCGGGATTTTTGAAACCAAATAAGTTCCTCTTGAAACAGGGTCATGTTGTACTGCTTAATGAGGGTATTTTCAAGGAGGTGCAGATTATGGGAAAATCTGTGAGCTTGAGATTTTTGAATACCTTCTATACGAGCTAACAGATTATGCTTACGCTTATACATATTCCCAAAGACTTCTTTGTTCCAATTTTTAACATCATGGGTAAAGTCATTAATGGCCTCTATCAGGTTATGCTCCATATTAGACTAGGATTTTTTAACAACATCCGAAAAGGAAGGATGACACAGCCAAGCTGCTTCAAATTTGAAAGGCCTAGAAGTAGGATTGTGAGAATGCATACCTTGTGTGAGAACAATGAGTGGGGAGTGGTCTGAATAAGTTCTAGGAAGTGTCCTCACTGTCCCCTCAGGAAATAAGGCTCTCCATTTGTCGTTGCTCATAGCTCTATCAAGGCGCTCCATGGTATTAGCCAGTCCATGTCGGTTATTTGTCTAGGTGAATCTAGGCCCGACACAACCAAGATCAATGAGGTTGCAGTTGTTGATTCACTTAGCAAATTTCTGGTCTCAGTTATGATTGTAGTGAGGAGAAAAGCTTCTCCTTTCAGTGTGGTTACTGTAGCCATTAAAATCTCCCGCAACCAGCCAGTGTTTCTCCATGCCCCTAGATGTCTCCTCAAGATCGTTCCAGAGTTCATCTCTTTGGGATGGGTAAGGGCTTGCATAGACTGCAGATAGGATCCATTCCTTATAATCTTCCTTGTGAATAGTGGCCTGAATAACTTGGTTAGTAACATTAGTAGCTTTTATGCTGACATGGACAGTGTCCCAGAGTAACCAGATGCCGCCTGCTCTTTCTGATGGGTCCACTATTGTTGCAGCAGTGAACCCCATGTTGTTGAAGAAGTTTCCCATAGAACTGAATGGGACTTTGGTTTCCATAAGGATGAGAATCTCCGGTTTATGATTGCTAATTAGTTCGTGCATGTTGCGCTTAAAGGCACTATTGCCTGCCCCAGGGCAGTTCCAAACAAAGATGTTGAGTAAATTTATGGTAGGATATTGAGGGAGGGGGTTAGTGTCCAAACCAAGAAGAATGCACCTGATTCGTCTATGATGTTGATCCATTGATCTCATGGAGGCCATCTGCACAGAGTGGACTGGAGACTCGGCTCTGCGGCTCCAGCTTGGTTCTATTCGCATCCGTATCTGCTCTATCCATCATACCGTAGCGACAAGGTGAGTTGCTTCTATCCCTTGTTCTAACGATAGAGTCAATGGATGATTCTCCATCCCGTGGGTAAGCACCTCTAGACCTGCGCCCTCCTCCTTCTCCATGGATGATTCCCGAATCAGGGGGTTTCCTGTGCTTTATGGTTGTGAATCCTTCACTCGCTAATGGTAAATGATCAGAAGTAGGTAGAAAGGGTGTAAGTATTAAAAGTGTTTCAGAGAGTGGATCAGCCATCGGGATTTCTGGGGATGTAGAAGCAGTTCCCAACGTACTAGGATTGTCAGGTATAGGTTGGCTAGTCTGGTTTCTATTGGGTGCCTGAGGTAGAGGAACCAGTTCTACAGTTCTGGGGGCAATGGAGGAGTTCTGGGTGGGTGGAGTGATGGTACCTGATGGGTCGGTTTGAGAGATCTTGGCCAGGATCACAGTTTTTGAACCAGATGGGCCAGTTTGAGTTTTCTGAAATGGGCTAGATGCCTCTTTCTCAAGGCCCAATCTAGTTGTTTGTTTGCCCCTACCCACTTCCTCTTCTTGTTGGGTCTCTTTGCTCAATTCTGAAAACTTATTATGAGTTGGGCTTAGACTAGTGGACTAGGTCTTCCTATTGAGCACAGGTTTACGGGTTTGCTTAGTTACCATCATCCAGGGCCCATATGTGTCATCTCCTTCTACTGCTGATTGTTGCAAATGACTGTTGGCATTGGGGTTAGCCATTGCCGTTTGAACTTGGTTACCCTCAACGGTTAGTTGTGATCCTTCCGGGAGAGGCTCTTTTCAGTGACCAGTTTGAGACTTGGGGTGCGCTGCCTGATATTTACACAGCTCCTTGCAGTGGTCTACCCTTCCATAGTAGAAACAAAATGAATGGATGGACTCGTATTCAATGTTGTAGCTTTTTTTACCCTGGAGGAATCTAGGACATAGTGGCTTTCGGAGATCAACTTCAACGCACACCCTTGCAAACCGGCCTCTAGTAGCCATGGCTGTGGTGAGATCAATTTTTAGGGCCTTACCAATCTGCCTAGCAATCGTATATAAGACTTCCTCTTGAAAATATTCAATCAGAAGCTCCGGAAACTGCACCCATACTGTAGTGGTGGTTTCAAAGGCTTCCGATGCCTTAAAATCAGGCTCCTATTTCCTCACAGTGAGATAATGATCCATACTGACCCATGGTCCTCCAGAATAGACATGTGCACAATCCTCCAAAGAGGAGAATTTAAACAGGAAGTAGTTATTGCCTAAATCTATAACATTAAATTCCTCTTGTAGGCCCCAGAGGTTCTTTACTCTTGTGCAGAGCATCTTATACCCGATGTTTTTGCCCAAGAGTCTGACAATCAATGTATTGGCCCAGGGTCTTCGAATCTATTCCAGTAATTTCTTCGGTAGGTGCATTTGCGGAATACCTAGTTGGGCCGGATGCAAGCTTTCTTCATGGATAGATGTAGCTCCTTCATCTTCGTCCTCCTCAGCAGAGAGAGAATCCATGGAGTCATCAAAATAGAAATCCGCATTTCGTGGTGCTGCCAAAGCTTCCTTGAACAATTTAACCTTCTGGCCCTCAATCAAGACCTCATCAGGACCTGGTACTGGTAACGGCGTAGGAGGGATACGTGAGCTATCGGTGATATCCATAGTTTCCAAGTGATCTTTGCTCTTGATCTTCTTCGTGCTTCTGACCAGATGGTCTTCCTCTTCTTGAGTTTTCGTGGGTGAGGAGTTAGAGGATACAAGCTCAGACTACATAATGCAAAACATCAACCTTGCATGAAATTGAACTCATCCCAAACATGTATGTAGTTTGTTAAATTAACCATGACCATAAAATATATATATATATATATATAAAATTGACCATGTACATTACGAGAAAAATATGTATTCCACCGAGTTCCACAATGCTGCCTAATTTAAAAGAATATAGCCAGAGTAATAAATGAATGCGCACACTCAAAATTCAAAAACAGTACTTAGAATCTTTAAAAAATATATAATACATCAAGAAAATTCAGAAACATTGAACACAAACATTCACGAACCGCTCAATAAATTTTCATTTCCATTTTCTGTATAAACACATCAAGGATAGTACACAAACCAATCCGCATGAGTACCAAAGATATTACACAAACCAATCCGCATGGTAAACATAAATCAAACAAGGAATATTACATACAAAAGATGGGGAAGCAAGGAAAAAAACAGCAGTGCAGCACTCAACACAAATTTAACTCGGATGATGTTTCGCCTATTTTCTCTAGACAACAACAGTAAACAAATCTAGGCCCATATGCATGCATCCGACTTAAAAATCACGCGTAATAAATTGTACAACTGCAGATTCCGAAAGATCCAGTTAGGTGATGCATACTCTTCAAGGCATGATGTTTCAAGTGGAAAGTTGGAACCTGCCGCTAGGTTTTTTTCTTCTCCATCCCTGAAATTTTACAATATTTTAATATTAAAAAAATAAAACCTTTAGTTTCAAGCAACCAAAAAGAAACACTCCATTTGTTTTGATGAAAAAAATTTCAAAAACATTTTTCGGAGAACCTTTTCTTATGTTTGATTGTGTCCTTGAAACTAATATACTGGAGGTGGTGGTAGGGCAGGGTGGATGTAGTGGCGGTGGTGTGGTGGAGGCAGTAGCTGTAGTGATGAGGTTGCGGTGATGGTGGAAGTAGGTGTGGTTGTGGCAGTAGCTGTGGTGATGGTGGTGGCAGCAGCGGCGGCGGTGGTGGCAGTGGAAGTGATTGTGGTGGTGGTGGTGGTGTGGAATGGTGGAAGTGATGGTGATGGTGGTAGTAGCATAATGACATTGGTAAGACTTTAATCCAAAAAATATTTTTCACTTTTTAAAAGAAAAAAATACCACCCAAAACATGAAACATTTTCCATCAAACTTTTGTTTTCCATTATACTGAACACCAGAAAAGGCCTAAAACATTTTCCAAAAAACATATTTTGCCCAAACAAACAGAGCAAAAGACAAAAGAAGCAAGAGTGAACTTACAAAGGCAGCATAGTACACAAATGTCAGGCCCGCCAGACCAATGAAAGCAATTTGAAACACATTATACCTGCAATGGAATTGAGAACAACTAGATGAGTACTTGTGTCTGATTAATATTGATCGAGAATTACAGGGGAAGAATTGCGACTGACTTGTATAAATATTTAATTCCACGAAGTGATTGCAATGTGTGACCGAATATTTCCTGTGCAGCAGTAGCTTGAGCATAGTATGCAAATGCGGTGGCGCAGAACTGAATCACACTGAAAGTGCAAAAACCAATATCAAATGTTGAACCAATAATTGGATTTCTATGAGGACAGAAGAAATGAGTTCAATTAAACTTTTATGAATCTTCAGTAGGATGACTGACTCATGAATCTTCAGTAGGATGACCAACTCATGCCATCTTTAATATAATGCACGAGTCAAATTTAACAGATGTAGTATTTATTTATTTCCATAAATAGTTTCCAACAGAACAAGGTGCAAAACAAAAACAATTTGGTAACTCTTAATCCTATAACCAGTGTTTGAGCAATACCATGAAGAGTTTTCAAGATATGTAGTAGGACAATAGCTCTCAAACTCTCAATGTCATTTCTTGTAAGAGTTTTCAAGCAATCAAATGTTCTCAGTTTGGAAAAGAATGGGAAGCTATAACCACGCAAGGATGAAAATTTCGTTTCAGTATGTTGTTTCAGGAAACATTTCGAAAATGTTTTGGAAACAAAAAAGATTAAATTTTTTTTAAAAGTTTGGAAATGTTTGGAAACAAAAACTAAAACCTATATAAATATTAATATAATCTATATAATTAATAATAGAACATGTTGAGTTCTATGAATTTTAGAAGCTCATAAACAAACGGTTCAAAGATTTAGTTGGCAAAGATGTTAACCATTGTAAGAGAAGGGGGAAAAAATTTATATGCAAAACTCTAGTAATAGGGATGAAAAAAAGTGACTTAATCATGCTTGTTTTATCTTCTTCTCTTCTCTCTCTCTTCTCTTCTCCTATCTAGATTCTCAGATTCCCTAATAAATTTTATACTTTTCTTCATTCTCACAATTTTTTTATAGACAAGAAGAGGAAAATAAAAAAGAACATTGTTAAATATTCTTCTCAAGTGTTGAAACAACGTATTATTTTGGTATATTTCGCATTTCAGTGTGTTTTGGTATATTTCGATAAAAACATGGGAATTTCAGTATTATTCCAGTCATGATTTTTGTTTTGGTTCCCTAGGAAATGGAAAATTCTGGTCGTCTCGATCCAAAATAAATGAAATTTTGTTCCTTGTAACCAAGAGAAAATAATCATCTAACTTCAATATGTAAATGAAGTGTGTTTAGCATACAAGAAGCCAACCTGATGGAGCAAAGAAGAATGAGGCCCACATTAAAGAGGAAAGAGTTCATCAGAGTGGCTCCCCACCTGTAATATCAAAACACCAGAAGTGTAAGGTTCCCAGCGGCCATCACAAAACACAAACTAAAATAATATAATATGAAAACACAACAAAGTTCATTACTTCATGGGATGGATTGTTATAAACACTAATCTCATGCCAAGCATCATGGCCCCAGCAATCACAGCAAGTAGAAGGTAGAAGCAGAAGAATGCAAATGCTGCAGTACCCAGAAGACCTGGCAAAGTAGCACGATATGGATCACAAGTTATTGTTCAAAACTCGTGAAGCAAAGTAAATGAATGAAAAAAGCATGTATAAATTTTGCATAATACCCCAGACGCTATCCAACTTAACGAAAACCTCATTTAGGAAGGGAGAAAGAGGAGGGCTGATCAATAGATATATCACAATATGTACAATCCAAGCCACTGAAACAATCAACCTGTCAAACAAGCAGTGAAGATAATAGGCTTAAAAAATCTCATAGATACGGATAAGAAACAAAAACATTACCAGAATAGTGGAGTGGCCTACGGGAGAAACACACACGAAAAAACATAGAAAAAACATCTACATTGGACACAAAAGAGATACAAATTGTCTTATGGTTACCCAACAATAATGTGTGTTTTTTTGGGTGAATACAATAATATGTGCTGTAAAGATAATACTCCACATGTCCAGCTAGGCAAACCCCCTATTCCTCATCCCTCGCCATTCATTGTCTTTTGGTTACCCAACAATAATATGTGTTGTAAAGATAATACTCCACATGTCCAGCTAGGCAAACCCCCTATTCCCCATCCCTCACCATTCACACAGGAGAAGAGAAACATTCATGTTCATATCATATCATTTTTGCAAAGTTACTTGGCTTATAGATTGTTCAAGGCCTTATCTGCTGTTCTCGATATCTACTATTCACCAGGCAGATAAACCCACAATTGTATTGCATCCACATAAACCCAGTAAGACTATACTCAAAAAGATATATCTGTGAAAGAAAGAAAAATTTAAAAAGCGGCGGTTCTCAAAAAACAGTAACAATCCACATCTATATCTATTGTAATCAATAGAAAACACACACATGGTCTGAACCAAGTTGCCAGGATATCATGCTCCATTTGGTAAAAGGGGAGACTTGGGGTATGTAAGAAAGGAAAGGAAAGGAAAGGAAAGGAAAATGAGGAGAGGAAAGGAGAGAGTCTCCATTATTTGGTAGGAAGAGAAGGCAAAGGGAAACCAGAAGACAAAACTCCTCCTGGACCACTATTTTGTTTTCACCCAAAATTGGATGAGACGAGGAAGCAAGACACCTTTCCTAACCCTTTCTAGTTCTTCCAGATCAGTTAAATGAGTTGAGGGAAAGATGGTATCCTGTTCCATCCTTCCTTCGCTCTCTCAATTCTATGTCCCTTACCACATTCAGCACGAGTACCCAAAAAAAAAAAAAAAAACCCTACTCTGAAATGGCCCTATATAGAGCTCTGGCAGTTGCCCAATTTAAAATGTTAAAGTATATAGCACCATCCAGACAAAAAGAAAAATAACAAAGACAGAATATTTTTCTAGAAGTAGCATAAGTTTTAGTAAACAGGAGCTGTTTTTTTTTTTTTTTTTGATCTGGTAAACAGGAGCTGTTTAAAATCATAAAACCCACCAACAAAGTTATCCCACAAATACATGAGCAAAAAAAGAAAATCAAAGGGAAAATAAAATAACTTTCGATTACAATGGCATTAAAATCCAACATGATTTTTTAATAGGAAAGACAATTGTCACCAAACAAGGTCATCTAGAATTTGCTGCACAAGAAACAATGATAACTCAGGTGAATCATATTGAAATTTTGTCCAGGGAGCAATTACAAATACGCATAAAATTAGGGCTTACCCTAAAACTCCCAACACGAGTTTGGCCAAGTAGCCAAGAACAGTCATAGCCCATGCAGTCTCAGCCTGAATGAATCAAGCACCAATTAGGAGACAATCAGGTTTAGAAAATATGCAGGGTCAGCACTTCAAATAGATTTCAAACCATCACCTGTTCACCTTGAGGGTACATCTCTTCTAAAGCCTTCACATCTTCTTCCAGAAGAAGCAGCTCCTGCAAGGTTAAAAAAGCACAAGACAATACCCAATTTGAATCAGACCACGGATGCAGATATAAAGTAAACCAACAATGTGAGTTTTAAAATTACACCAAAAATAATGTAATTTATCCGGCTGTTAAACTGCCCCCAACCCTTTCCCCACAGCCACCAAAAATGACATAATTATTTTGATTCTCCACACAAATATCAGTAAAACAGCACCACAAAAGAAGACAACATGCAACAATGTAGTAAGGATCACATAAATGATAAAATGGAGTATTATATGGACAATCAAAATCATACGATATCAACATATAACCCACTAAAAACTAAAAAACAAATAAGGATCAATAAAGCTTATTGGTCTTAAAAGCAGAAACCACATAGCCTGAATAATTACAAATTGGTGTGGGAGCAGTCCAAGTAGAGAAAATAATAAGAGCCCAGCACACTAAATCAAAAAGAAACAACTTGCATACAAGCCCCTTATCTAAACCTTCAGCTCCCTAATTTAATAACTTGAGATAAAGCACATCTTTATAGGAATAAGGATCAGCCACAGATAGATACTTTAAAGATTGCAAATGTCAAAAATACGAGAATTATATGATTTTCAACCATGACAAAATACTCCATTGAAATAGATTCTCCACAATTAAAGTCTATCCATGTAAGTGACCAACAATAACAGGTCCTCACTATCCTGCACTTCTCTCTGTGCATGTCAATGAAATCTATCACATACAACATATAAAAGCAATTCGCAAAAATTGAAGTAGGAGACTTGTAATTATCAATTCATTCAATTAGTATATCTTAACTCTTATATGAACCCAATTTTCTGTTGTACCATGACATTATTTGCTGAAATCATATTTTTTTAGGCAGAAAAAGTAGCTCATAAGGATCTCATCAGCAATATCATATCTTAGATTCTGCACCATGCAACTCAAATACAACTTAGGCCCATTTGTGAAACCAACTTTGGAAGTACACCAATGTCAAGAATTAATAATTATCTTGCTATGTTTTAACAGTCTTAGACCCTGCAACCTTGCCCTTCAGTGGTGGCAGGATGCACCTCAAGCTACAATCGTGGTAAAGGGTAATACCTTTTCCACTGCCTTGACATTTTTACGCCACTTCCTTCCCTTTGCACCACTCTTTTCTTCCTGACGAAGCGCATCAGTTGCTTTCTTCAATTCTCTTGCCCTTTTACCTAGTTCAGTTGCTTCCTACAAAATAAAAGTCCGAAGTCCATAATCAACTTAGATTTGCCAATATCCATTATGTTGAATGTTGAAACAGAAGCCATCAAGAAGGTAATTTCATACGAATACATAGTGCACAAGCCAAAACCTACCTTAATATACTGTGAACGAGTGATAACCGCTTTTGGACGCTGAACAAATGAAAAGACAAGTCCCAGTGGCAAACAAGCAATGCCAACACCACCAAATATCTGACAGGACAACAAGAGGTCAAAAAATAAAATATAGAAGTTCAAGACTATCCAGATGTAAAGTCATTAAAACTGTATCTATACAGTTTTCCATTAAAACTGTATCTGTACAGCCTTAATTTTTTGTAAACTTTATTTGGATAATCACAATATAGTTTATATTCTGTAAAGCCAGACATAAAATCTACAACGTAGTGAATGATCATTTTAATCTTATTATTCTGCATCAGACATAATTCAACATCACTAATTGATACCACGCAGACCATCAGAAATTCTACAATCAATTCATACAAGGTGTGCAATGTCTCTGTTTTGAAATGCATTTACAACCTAGGTGAGAATGAGAAAAAAAATAATCATGCCAGATCACATCTAAAGCTCAGGTTTGGTTTCTATCAAATTGCATCTAAAATGTTGTAAAATATGAGAAGAAAATCTAATTACTATACAGAAGCTTAAAGATTTGATAGATTGACATACAGTGAAAAGAACAGATCCAACAATGGTAGCAAGAGCAACAACATATTCTGGGAAGGTGGCGCGCATGGTCCATGTTGTCTCTGATGAAGGACTTGCAGAATATGATGAACACTGGAAAGTTAAAAAATGATCTTGAGAATTTCGTCATGAGCTGTTCATGCTCAGACAAGTCTAAAGCTAGCAAAAAGCAGAACTTATAGAATAATAGCAAGCAATGATATATTTTTTTCTAAACCTGGTTAGCGCCATTTCCAATGCATTGTTGACTGCTAGAGAAGTCCCATGTAGTGGGGAAGTTAGTTGTTACTGAAGAGAGGTGCCTGACAGTGAAGTCGACCTTTCCAACAAGCCCTAGTAGACGAAGAAAAAGAAATACACAGCTTGTTAGTCTACTGAAAGAAAAAAAGAAGGGAAAAAAAAAATTAATTGTTAAACTAAAATTCCAACAAAATGCATCTGACCAAAAAGACTTCCTTCCTAGTTTTTATACAAGGCAGTATGGCTTAATAGATTTTAAATCTACAGATAAAGGGCAGAAGAGCATAATCAAACAAGCAACCTAATTAACTAAAGGCCTTACAAGTCCCACCACGCTGTGGCCACATAAAGGAAATTATCTTTCCAGCCACCTATAGTCTATAGATGCCATATCACATTCAACATCACACATAACATACCAGATCTTCTAATTTGATATCCTTTGATTATTGTTAATTTTTAGGGATAAAATGTTCAATATCTAACAGAAAAAATAACAGATTGCTGGACAGATGCATCTGACTCTCCAACTATAAGCAGAATGGTTACCTTTTCAATGGACATACTTTCAGTTCATCAACATATCTTGCACTAAAAGCCTCTCACAGCCAAACTATGAAATTAATAACCATCTTTTGATAAGGCCAAAACCAAAACTTCATAGATAGCCCATCATTAACACATATTTAACACATGTGCACAACTACAGCTTCATCTCAACCAAAGTTCCAGCAATACTGAAGAACGACTGTAAATGAAGTATCTTATGATCCTTATCATAAACATCCACACAAGATTCAGCATTCATGGGAGGGAAAGGATGATACTGACTAGATGATACAAACTCAACATATGCAATGGCATGAAAATAATGCTTTAAGAGTTTCTTTCCTAGAATTATAAAATAATGATGAAGAAAGATGTTTCAACATAAAATTATCATAAATTAAGAAGAAAATTTGGTTCGGGATGTTAGATTTTAGAGGCAGGTGACTGATTAAGGGGATGAAGTGATGGATAAGTGGGTATTTTGTATAGGGTGGATTGCTCGGGAGAAGAAGGGCATGAGATAAGTTGGTGTGCTTCAAAGTGGTTTTGATGTTAAATTGTACTGTAAGGTATTTCCAAGTAATTCTTAGCTACTCTTTCAAAGGAAAAGTAGTTGAGGTTTTTTCCATGGTCAGCATACAATTTGAGTTTTCATATGATGAAAATTACTAAATATGAGGAACGATCTCCCTACTTAGTATCCAACGTGCATTGAGACTGCAAAGCCAATTATCATCATTTAGTTATTGCAGAGTTGCATGGAAGGCATGGCCTCATTATTAACCTTTTTCGAGATGACTTGGGTCATCTTACCTACATTTAAATAATACGGACTTTGGTACAGGTATCGGTTGGGGGTATATGTCCAAGTATCAGATTCATTCAATGCTAATGCTGTGCTGTTACATAAAAGAGGCTAGCTATTGTTCTGGCAAACGAAGCTCTTGAATCCGCAAGAGAAGAAGCCTTGAATCCAAAAGGAATACTAAAACATAGAAAAACCATCAATGCTAAAAACTGAATTCCCATGAAGGGCATAACCTTATTTATAACAAAGCAATTCTAATCCTTCTTGGACACAAAACAATAAGGAATTAAAAAAAAAATTTACTAAAATAGCCCTTCACTTAGACTATAGACTTCTAGAGCATTTGGATGCTTTTGTTAGCATGCACCACATGTACACATGGCTTTGGCCTCCTTATGGTTATGGCAATAAATTTTTATTTATCAAAAAAAATAATAATATAATAAATGTTTGTTTTCCAACAAACATTTAGAGCTGATAAGGTCTGGCAATGATGAAAAAATTATGACAAAATGAAATTAAAATCTCTAGCTACAATAATGTTAGAACCTGTGAAGATGAAAACAAAAAAAAAAAAAAAAACAGCTGAATTCGTGCAAAGCTATCATATGTGGATGCAAAAATTGATATATGACATAATTAATCCCATTTTAAACAACTATTACAATTTCCAACTATCTCACTCCATGGTTAAGTTTAAAGCCAAATCTTAGCAAACAGAAGGAGAAAAAAAAAAAAAAATCAAATCAAAGAAAACTAACCGTATAAAATTCCAAGCACCAGACCACAAACAATAGCTGTAGTTCCCACCCACAACAATGCACTTTTAATCCGTTTGCCAACAGTCCTGCATATGACAACCAGCACCAAATCAATGGCGGAGCCGCATTAGGGCCTCAATTTTTTTTTTAAATTTGCACTTTTACCGCTATATTTTTCAGCTTCTTCTTTTGAAATTTCAAGTTTCTATACTATTATATATAATATGTGAAACCTAGAAATGGTGTCGTCAACACAAAATGTCACATATTTTGAATTTTTCCAAAATACCCCTATAATTAGTGTTTATGTAAAAATTATATTTAGGGAAGAATGGGGCCTGAAACCATGATCATGAGTTTGATTAAGAAGGTACTCACCACTTGAACAACACATATTATGTGTGCATTCTTCTTTATCATTATTCTTATACTACAAGTTTTTTTTGAATTGCACACGCAGCGTGTGTGGACCGCTAGTATCTTTAAATATTTTTACCCCCTCTCTTTTTTCTTTTCAACAAAATCCATGCAAATTTGTAGCTTTTAATGTTTAATTTTGGTAAAATCGTCTCTTAAAAATTTTACACATTATTTCTCATTTCTTTCTCTACCCTCTTCATCTCTCTTTTTTGGGTGTATCTTGGTACAATTTCCTCTCCACCCAATCCACCAATCATCTAGTCTACGTATATGTATACAAAAACATATACATATGCGTGAAATTTCAAAATGAGCAATAATGGAAACAAAACCCAAAAAAATGTACCGACTTGTCCTGATCGCCTTCGTAGAAGAACATAGCGAAAGGAATGACGAAGAAGACGAGAACAGCGTCGAGAATGTAGATAGCGAGCCAGAGAGTCTTCATCGGCAAGGTGAGATTACAAGCACCATTGTAAATCGCGTGCTGACAAGCCTGGCGATTGGCGACATCGGCCGGCAACATGAGGATAGAGATTGCGGCGACGGAGAGGCCCAAAACAACGACGAATTTGGGGAAGTAGGCTTGGTTCGCATCGTCGAGGTGCTGGAAGTTGACGAGGAGGTAGACATTGAAGAAGAACACCAATACGCATACGACTATGGCGACGATCAAAAGCGCGACATTGAAATCGCCCATTGTTGCTCTCGATTCGAATCAATCAATCGATTCGAATCGAATTAAACTATTTTTGAATCCGAACGAGGGCTCGAGGAGATCTGATTTTGGGAGGTTTGAGAGAGGGAGAGGAGAGAGAGGGGGGAGGGTTTGCTCCGGTGGGGGTTTGATATGAATGGTGAAATTACGGTTTTGACCTCCGTGAAAGGGTTAATGATGGGTTGGGAGTGGGGTGTTTGGGGAGGATGTGATGAGGATGGAAATGGAAATTCATTATATTGGTGTGACGGAGATAATGGGATTGGGACCAGCCTGGCGTAATGAAGCCAAGTTTTTTTATTTGTGTTTTGTTTTCAACGATTTTTGAGACATCTTTTATTGGGAACAGTTTCTCACCGGTTTGAAAACGACCTCGAACATATTGTGAGATTTTGTGGACTCATCACAGAAGTCACATGGATAATTTGTATCGTCGAATATGTAAATTTCATCAAGTATTTTATATTTATAAAAATTATATTAATTGAATATTAATAATTACTTGATTAAATTAAATTTATGTTAACGATAATTATAATTTTAAAAATATAATATAATCAAGTAATTATGAATATTCGATCAATAATTTTTTTTTTATATAAATGAAGTATTCGACAAGTCTTATTTATTAAACGATTTAAATTATCAATATGAATTCTATAATAAGCCTACGTAAGCCTAATAATACGCTCTAATTCAAAAACTCAATTAAAAAGAAGCTGTCTATTTTTTTGTTATTTTTGAGTGACTCGAATGCTGCTCCTCAGGCGTGTCCTGGAATTGAAGCATGATACGACAAAAAAATTATTTATAGTTAGAGATGAGTTGACACCAAGGGTGATGGTAATAATGGTGTAATAATACAAACAAATGAATGACATATATATAAATAGTGAATAATACGTAAAGAGATAGATGAATAAATAAGAATAATATGATCTTTTAAGTTGTTATTCTTCTTTTAGTCTCCAAATAAATAGAGTTTGGGGTTATTGTCACAAAAGTTTGAAATTGAACCTGCGATCCGATGAACTTTTTAGGGATTCTAGCGGTGGTTCGAAGGTGGTCTAGAGTGGTGACAAAAAAGAAATTAATTCATAATATCAATTTATCTTTCGCACTAAACAATTTCATTAAAACATGTCTTTATTACCAAAAAAACATATGGCTATGTAGATATGGACTTTTTGCCAATTAATTTTTAAAAAAAATTACAAATATGTTCCTTAAGATGTACTTAAAATATGAATTGCTTATGTAATTTTAAAAATTACAAATACTCATTTATTAGAATTTTTTATTTAAGGATTGGTTTGGGAATAAGTTATTTTAGTAACTTTTTGACTTTTTTGCTAAAATATAAGGTAAAAAAATTAATATATTTTGAATGATTTTTTTAGTTTTTTATGCAAAAACATGTAAAAAGTAGAGAGAAAATGAATTTTTTATTTTTTTTTATAATTTTGATTTTTTAATTTTTTAGTGATTTTTTGACTGGCCCTTAATTAAATTAACAGAAAAAATAAAATTATTAACTATTCTTTTATATAACAATAAAATTACATAAATTGTTAATTGAAATGTATTTCTAACATCATTAAAATATGCTAAGTGACTTAATAATTTATTAATAAACCGGGCATTTGTAATATGATTAAAAACTTAGGGGCGAAATGTAATTTTTAGAAATACACAGAGTAATCTATATTTCAAATAAATTTCAAAATTTGTATTTATAATTTATCCACAAAAAACAAAAGCATTTTTTGCAACATTAGTCGCAAAGGGTTGAAGGGATGGTTGGCAAATTGTTGCAGAAGAGTGGTCCATGAAAGTTTACAGTGAAAAATTAAAATTCACGAGTGGTCCATGAAAATTTACAGTGGAAAATTAAAATTCACGAGAAATTAGTTAACAAACGTTAAAGGTTGTTTTAGAAGGTAGTTATTTTAATTATTTTTTAGTTTTTCATGAAAAAAATATAAAAAATAAAGAAAATAATTGACTTCATTATAGTAATTTTTTGACAATTTAACTATTTTAAGTGGTTTCCAAATGTCGACTAAGGTTTAGCAAAAATCCTATAGTCTGTCACCAAAAAAAACTATTTAATTGTGCTTTCATTTATCAATCTCTTATTTTTTAGTTTTGCTAATAACAATCCTAAAAGGGATGTGAATAAAAAGTACATATTATCAAAATATTTATACTTTTAATACATAATTTATATATCCTAAAATATTTTTATATATTTTAAATTACTTTTACATATTTTCCAATGTTAATAATAGTTCTATCCATTGTTTTTAGCATTTTTCTTTGTTTTCTTGGTAATATAATGCTTCACAAAATAAACTTTTACATTTCGTTTGGGAACCCTCATTTTTAGCCAAAAAATCAAAAAGTTAGCCAAATAACCAACAACTCATACCAAAAAGTCAAAGATTCTCTTTTATGTCTACTTTTTGCACATTTTTTCGTAAAAAGTCAAAAAGTCATTCCAAACATACTAGTTTTTTTTAGCTCATATTTTAACCAAATAACCAAAAAATTACTAAATTAGCATGTTCTCAAACTGCTTGAAAGTGGATCCACTATTGGAAGGAATAATGAACCAAGAGGTATATGATATAATCTTATCAAGTAATTTTACTTCCTATTACCATTGCAACTAGGGGTGTGCGCAGTGTGGTTCGGACGGTTTGAGAGTAAATTTACAAATCGAATGGCGGGTTGGCAGATTAGCGGATTGATAAATTGCAGTTTAGACGGTTTTTGACAGATTGGCGGATTGAAGAATATTCTAACTAATTATCATACATTTGCATAATATATAACACTAATTTGTATAATATTTTTTAGATATATAGCACAAAATAATTTTACATAATATGTTTCATATATATAACCATTAATTTGTAATAAATTTCATATCTTAAATCTCTCTCACACTCATTTTTACATTGATATTTCATTAGAGGTTAAAAAATATATATGTATTAACTATAGCGGAGTGGTTCGGTTGGCGGATTATAAATTTTAAAGTTTAAACCGCGGTTAGCGGTTAGAGCAGTGCGGATAGATGCGGATTGGTGCGGTTTTAGCGGATTAGGCGGTATTTTACAGAGCCCTAATTGCAACCACTTTGTGCTTCAATTATTGCCCGTCTCGCATAACTACTCTTCTTATAGGGCTCGGTTATAAACTCGCACCGATAATTTGAATCATCAACTTTATAGATATCACAGTAAAAGTTATTTATACAAAAAATTAATTTTATCAGACAACTATAAAATATGAATAAATAACATTTTATTTTTAAAAAATGAATGATTTAATTTTACAATTACATTTGTCATTCATTTTATAAAAAAAAATGTGATTTTTTTCTTATATTTATAAATGTCCGATGATACTCATTTTTTGTATGAATAATCTTTATTGTGAAACTTACGAGATAAACGGTCCGGATTATCAGTATGGGTTTAGAATTAAGCCCCATAAGAGGAGTATGGAAAAGTATGAAAAGATAAGGTATGGAAGGAAACCTATCACATTCTGTTAACCTATGTAAGAATGATTGGGGTCGAGAAGAGATGTCATTTATATTTGACTAGTGTTATACAAATAAATAAAATTTATAATTTTTTGCACAAAATTATGTGGGTCTCATTTCACATACCAAGGTTTTATTAGTGTATGTTCCATCAATTTGTAAGAAAATTTTGTCCAAAAACAAAAGGACAAGTTTGTTTGTATAATCCTTTTTCTTTACATTTATTACTTTTTGTTTTGGTAATTGAGTAATTAGCTTCCTCAAAACTGTCTATATTCACATAATTCAATTTTAATTTGTCTGTGTACTAAATCTAAATGACAAATAGCGTGAATATAAACTCTTTTACTTGGAAAACGTAGACATGCTACATAGATTTTGTTTCACTTCTTTTGTAAATTTATACAACAACGGATCGTATACATATCGGATTAAGAGAACACTATATACAAAACACACACACCGGAAAAAAATAATAATAAAAAAAAAAGAAAAAGAAAATTAAACCTAATTTCAACATGTAAAAATGAATGCATGGACTCAAATTAATATACATTTCATTAATTGTATTGGAAATTAAATTGAAACTTGTTAGCCAATAACATTGCATACATAATTTTTCAATAAAATTCCTTCGCATTTGCAGATCTAACCCTCTGCATTTTCATCTTCTCAGACCAATGATTTTTTATCTCAAAATCCTAGTCTCTATATTCTCAATACATTTTCAGTCATATAATGTCGTATAAATATCAAAATATAAAAATCTTAAAACACAATCATATGACTAAAAATACGTTATGATAGAATATGAATTTTAGGAATAGAAGATCCAATGCCTATAACTCATACACCATTGCATGCAATTAATATCTCAGGCTTTGCAACACATTTGCATCCACATCTTTAAAGTACGTTTGGATCAAGGATTTAAGGATTAATTTGTGGAGGGAAATAAAAAAGAAAAGAAAAAAATGAACCCTTCACAAATTCTTAATTCAAACATAACCTTATGGTGTGTTTGGTTGAGGGATTTAGAAAGGGATTTGGAAAGGGAAAGGGAAAAGGTGTGTGAAACTATGTGAAATATAGGCATGATTTATTCATATTTCACCTACATTTTCTATTTCCCTTTCCAAATTCCTCTCCAAATTCCCCAACCAAACACAGCATTAAAGTCTAAAGCTTGAGTTTGCAGCGAAGCCTGTACCATCCTTTTTTGCAAGCACCAATGATCTTCCATGATCCTTTCTTGAAAGAATTCTTGAGAACTATGGCCCTCTCCTTCAATGCCCCTCCCATTTCAAATATGAGATTGAAATCAAATGGCAACAATTTCTTCCTCTCATCAAGTTTATCTCCACCTTTTTCTTTCTTTCTTTCTTTCTTTATTTTTTAAAGATTTTTTTGGCTAAGTATTCTCTTCAAGTTTTCAACTTTTCTCTCGTTTCTTCCAATAACCATCTTTGATCTAGCCTGAAATCTATTATTTCTATACATGACTGATTCTCATTGATTTTCTTAAACAAGGTGAATTTTCATCCGGTGGATTGTCTTATTAAGTTTAGAAGAAATCAGTTGTTTTTTTTTCTTCTCCTTTTTTAGGCGTCGGACAGGTCAAATTTTTTAAGTTACATATATCTAATAGAAAAATGATTTGGACCCCCACAAAGGAGCACCCTCACAACCCTCTCTGGCCTGTGATTGGCCAATTTTATTTTTTTATTTTTTTTTTCTTCTTCTTCTTCTTCTTCTCCACCAATCACCAACTCCACCAATCACCAACTCCACGTGTGTC